GCAGCACACATTGCAGAGACTGGCCATGACTTCGATCTTAAAGTAGCGACCATCGTAGGCCAAGGAACTTCAAAAGCCGAAAGTCTGACTCTCAAGGCATGGTACTCAGATGCCAACTCGATCAACCGGCATCTAGACCTGCCAGTGGCTTACAAAGTCTTGCACCATTATTTGGGAAAGAGACAGAACGAAGCTAAACCTATTTTTGGTATGTCAGTAAAATGCGAACTGGAGAATAGGTTTTGAGGAAAAACTGTCTTCAGAGGTCTAGTAAGTAAAAAATAGTAATAGTTACTTTTGTCGAAAACATCACAGTATTATTGTAAAAAAAGGACGAATCTTACGTGAGACAAATGTTATAGAACGTGTACGATTAACCATTCAGAGTCACTTCAGGTTTCTTTGACCCATCGTTTCTGAGCCAAATGATTCGATTATATTCGGAAATGTTTAACGAATAGCAAAAACCTTCTTCTCAAAGTCCAGCGAGTTGAGTAAATAGCTGTCGGTGAGCTTTGCCCGTTGTTGTACGTGATTCCCGTAGACATTGTTATAATTGGTCGCCAAATTTGAATATAGCGAATCTCAATTGGCTCCCGGAAACTTTAGGTCGATTTATCCTCTGTTTTTGGGCCTTCCAAGGGATTTAGTGTGCGCCAAGCTCATGCCGGGCATCCGCATGCCTATTTTAAGTCTCATTTTTCGTTTGCCTATCCATTTCCGGAGTAAAGAAGCTATATCGATAACAATACTCGCAGAATGAAGCTTTTGGACGACTTGGCCCTTGAAAACTTGATCGAGCAATTGTCTAGGGCGAGCAGGAGATATGTTATCGACGTTAAGTAAGATATTGAATTTTATATTTGAAAATACTTGTTTTTGTTTACTTGGCACAATACTGCTCTTGAAATTTTTACTGGTCCTTGCTAGGAAAAAATCGCTTATTAATTTTATCATCGTCCCTCATTTGCCCAGTTAATTAAACCTGTAGGTTCATTAGCGAAACATGAACAGACGAAGAATATGTTTTTTTTTCTTAAACGTATATGAAAGCCAAATAAAAGAAAAATTTACGCTGTAATGAAGTTACATTACTGTAATTACTATAACCAGCACTTTTGTTTGTACGTCACTTTGTTCCTGCCTGTCGCTTGACTAGCTGCGTCAATAGGTGCTACAGTGTTTTTCTGTCAACCGGTTTTTCCCTTTTTTAAATTTCCTACATTGAAAATCGCTTAATTTCTTTAAATGTGAGTGGGCTCACCCTTTTCTTGCATAATGACTCATAGGTTGGAGAATTACTCTTGCAAAATGGTATCTGAGGAAAAGCGGCAGTACAAGGACTTGGTTTCTCGTCTTGAGAGCGATGCAGAGGACGTATCTTCTCTTCGGCTAAGTCCTTCCCGCACGATTCGAGGTTTACGTGAATTAACTGGACAACCAATTGCAAGGTCCTCATATCAAATGAGTACATGCCAAGCGAAGGTATGGGTATTGTTAAATGCACCTAGTTCCACATTATGAAACTTACATTCTTCTCATTCTCCCTATGTTCTCTTTGTCCTCGGTGTGTTTTTCAACATTTTATCATGTTTCGGTTGCAGCAAACGACTTCTATGTACTCCTACTGTGATTTAAACCAGTTTTCGTCCTTTACAAGAAATCTGGCGGCTGATCTCAATACTACGACTGCTGATGTTTATTGTCTCCTACACGTATTTCCTGGCTTCGATGTATCTGCCAGTGAACTTCAAAAAAATTCTCTCACCTAAATGTCCTACCTTGTTGACGTTTAAGCTTAGGAAAGGTTCTAACACTCCCTTTTAACTTCCAATGGTCGTCACAATATGGGTTGTCTATTAACGCTCGTGTAGAAATGTCTTTGAAATGCTTTGACTTTAAAAATGCCCAGCAAATTCAAAAGATTTTGATGTTGATGTCCATTCTCTTGACCCATTACTCGTACCCGCAAGTAAATTTCAGTCAAGGGTTGTCTTTTAAGTATAGTTTCCATCTAAATGAGTCCGTTGGAAAGAGTATTGCTTCAAGAGTTGCTTTTAAAGCAACTTAATAATTTTTTGGCATACCGTCTTGTTCGTGCACTGAACATTGACAGAACTAGACAAATGAAAGCAATTACGATGATCTATCCTGTGTCTTTAGAGAGGCATATTTTCGAACGATATCCATCCTCGGCTTCGACTATAGAGTTTGCCTCGTAGACTTTTACAAAATCCCCAATTGCCGTCCATCAAAGAGCAGCGTGAAGTCCCAATGAACCGATTTACTTGCTTCGCCGAATTTCAATAAGCAAATTGGTGTAAACCACTAATAGTTATAGTACTCAAGTGTTCGATAACGAAGCCATTTATGCAAGTTTGCCTGTGACAAAATCCAAACCACCCTGATCGCAAGTTGTGATTCGGAAAGGCGGCCATGAAAACTTAAATGCTTGCCCTAGTTAAGTGACTGACCTAGCATCTACCGCGCATTTTTGAAATTGGGTATAATAACCAATAGTATGAGTTCAAAGCAAAGCTACGAAAACCCATTTTTACTGTCGTATAGACCATCGTGTCTTTCGCAGGCAAGTTTTTAATCCGTTTCTTAATCTTTCACAGTTATGCACACGGAGCAGTTGAACTCCTGTTCGTAAAACTTTAAATGATACATATTAAATTAATTGGTAACTACAGTGTTTCCTTTACGGGCATCCTGACAGGTTAGAGTGTGCCATCTTATGAAAACCATCAGTTAGGTTCTTTCTTGATTGTCCCCAACGAACCTTTTTGCAATCCATTTTTTCAAAATTGTTGAACAGAAACATTTACCATTTGCGTATTTTTGAGCTGAGATATCCACAAGACCACCCCATTTGGATTCATTAATGACTCTTTGAAATCACTCTTTGTCACAGTGACACTTGATTCCTTTGATACACAAATATTCATTCTTTTGCTAGTTCTTTGCGCGTTTATTGAACTGGACATTCTGGCTCATTAACAAATAACTTAGTTCCTTTTCGTAAAATAATCACTGAATGCAAAAGCATCGAATGTGGCCTCGAATTTTTTTCGAATCTGAACCTAAATTTCATCTTTTCAATGTTTATCAAGATTCTCACTTTCCTTTTCAACGGTTTAATAAACAGATCAAGATAAAGTGGACCAATTTCGTATGAAAACGGTCTTGCAGCAGCTTCTGGTGAATTTAACCCTGTTTATACGTTTTCAATTTAGAGCCGTGAACACTCCACGTCTAGCCACGGTAGACACAATTCGGAAACCGCCTCCAGTTCTGAGGAAGGTGTCCTTACACCGCCCTCAGAATTTCCCCGTCTCTCCATCACTGCGAAGGAGCTGTTCTGCCTTATGAGCACGCTGAATTTGTCATTTGGTCCCTCCTACGACTTCCTAACCGCCGACAGCGAAGAATTCTGTCTCGAACCGGAGTTGTGGGTAAGTTTTGTAGTCACTGACTTCCCATCTTATTAGCACTTTGTTAAGAAAGCGCAATGTTCAAAGCCCTTCATAGTGGGTAAAGCGTTACCTCTAA